AGTTTAGTGCCTTTGTTAAACTCAGGTTGCCTCTGGTACCCCTTACATTAGTGATAGTAGACTGTTCAGCTATTAAACAAGCTAAAAGACTCTTCTTGTCCTCTAATAATCACCCATGTACTTGCTACCTTAACCTTTGCAGCTTCCGTTAACTTTTGCAGCTTCAGTCCTATCTTGTTGGTGTATTTTCATGTGGGAAATTCTGACAACTCCCTAAGGAACCCCCAAACCAGTGCGATTAAAGGAATCCAGTGTAACTTGTCTTGACAGACCTAGTTTTCAGAAAGTGCATCTGATACACTGCTCTGTGCCACCCCTTCCAGGTGGAGGTGACGCTTGGCATCAGTACCAGTTAACAGGGACGTCTCCAGGTGAACTCGGGTGAGAGTTGTAAAGACAGCATGCAGAAAAGCTGTTCCAGGGCACAAAAGTTAACTTTTGCTCTACTGCAATCACTGAAACAACTCCCTTTCAAGTGACTAGGCAAGACCCTGTGTGCGCCACGAGGTGAAAAACCTGAATCTCTGAAGGTAATAGTTGAAGTAAGTAAGGTTCATTGGCCTACACTTGTACATGCATGTGCAACTTACTTAGTCTTGTAGCTTCCTACTATTAAAAAAGAACCACAAATCTTGGCTGTGACTGTGGCATCCGCTCTGAAGCACGTACGAAGGCTATTTTCCAAGCATATTAACCATAAACAATTGAAGGAGATGACTTTGCAGTGAAGGAAGGGAAACTGGAGGGAAGAGTATGCGTTACAGCCACAGCAAAACTGCCTTCCTGCTGCCTTGATGCTTTCACCATTTAAAAAGAAGTGATTCTAGACGAGATTCATTTTAGGTCATGCCACGTAACTCCATAAAGTTATTCCAATTGTTACGAATAAACTACAAGCGTACTCTGATTTCAGAGCATGTGTATGAATTGTACTACTACGGTTACTGGCCGAGTTGATCTAGTGCAATTCTAGTACAATCTCTTCCAGATACAGTGCAAATAAGTTTCTTTTGGACATAATGCAATTTTCTTTTGGTTGTACAGCTGAGCATAAGGAAAACCCTTGGACAGAAGGTAGTTGTTCCTAGTTCCTGTTTAAATTGGCAACTCCTGCTCTTAACTTTGATATGAGAGGCAGTGGGACCAACTGCATTACGCTTCCTTAAATTGATTTAAAATACTATGTGGTAATAAAAAACCCCAAACAACCCATACCCAAACATGCTCTATATGCAAGTAAAAAACCCCTATAGTGGAAAATTTTAAATGCAAAATTGAATTTTGAAAAACCTCCTCAATGTAATCACCTATGTAGGAAATGCATCCTTGTCCCAAAAGCCTACCTCTGGCTTAATCTTTTTAAACGCTATGGCTGATGAGCATACCTGAACCTGTTGATCCTCTGCTTGTCCAAGTTTGATTGCTACAGTCAATAACAGTGCAAGAATGGCGGTGCTGCGGATCTGGCTGAAAAGACAGTTCAAGTTATTTATCTTTGCATGAAAAATTCTAAACATCAAGTTATAATACAAACTACTTAAACATACTTATTTCCTAATTCATAAGGTGGTGTAAATAGAGCTTTTGCAAGTTTAAGGAGGGTTACATCAACCTCAAGTTCAACTCCTACAGAGTAGAAAATAGACTTTTGTAACACTCCTACTTAGAATGATCACTGGGCCAGTTAAAGGCATTCTCACCACTTCTGGATACTGCCCTGTTTCAAAATAGACTTTAAAAGTTTGTACACCCAGTGCTAAGTCAAGGATGTTGAAATTACAGAAACCAAACCAGCAGCTATTTAAAAGCTATGGTTAAAATGATAGCTTTTAAAACTTGGATAACAATACTTTGTTAAACAGGACAAGACAGCAGTAGAGTGAGGGCTTCAATCAATAAAACCAAGAGCATCCGATAGTGCGACGGACCGGACATTAACAGCACAGCAAACTTGTGCAAGAAAGCAACAAAGACCATCCTACCCTGGCGTTTCTGAGTGCAGCTGTCGAAATGACTTCCCAAGGGCTATGCAAGACTCCAAAGCATCCTCTCCTACCCCACATTTCTTGTTAAGCCTTCACCGAAGGTGCCAGGTTGTTACACCAGAATGTTACGCCTCACGTAACACTTGGCTTGTTCCACAACCACCTCAAACCTGGATTCTTCCAGAAAAGCGTAGTACCACCAGCTGCTTATAGGCGTAGTTAGGGGCTGGCTGTGGGGAGTATAGCGAGACCCTTCTCCGTGAACAACTGACTTGGCCCGTTTGTTTCGGAAGCGCCAAGCAATGATGTTTCTATTAACCTGTGAGTATCTAATCAAGTGGCGAACTCGATGAACTCCCTGGCACCGGTCACCTGTGACATTTGGTTCTCAAGTAGTATTTGCCTATGTTAATTCTCAAAGCACCCTAGTGAGTAACTACGGATGTGCTGGCATAATTTGTTGCACTTTTTACCAAGAATGCGTTGGTTGTGTTAGGCCTGGAGAACTGATCAGGCAGGAAAAGCCGCTCCTGTAGCTGCTGGTGGGTATCTTCCTGTGCTGTTACACTGTGAGCTCGACTTGAGTTCCCTCGAGATTTCTGCATTGAAGAATAACAGTTAGGGCTACTTCTTATTGCAGCAGTACATTTAAAGTAAGTTGCCTAGGAATTAAAGCTAATTTTCCAAGCCCATCATTCTACACCTAGTTATGGGGAGGAAAAAAATCCTGGCATTAATTGGAATTAAAGCATTCAACTACGGGTGATGCCGTTGGCCAAAATCAATACGGCATTTTTTTGTGCATCCGTTTCAGTTGCTGTCACTTGCAAGATAACAAACAAATCAGAACTCTGGAGCTAGGTAATTTGATCAGCAGCGATGACAACTTCAGACTATCCAATCATAAAATTGTCGTGCCCATTACCGTTTGCCTCTGGGATCCTGCAGTGCTCACACGCTCTGCCACGTTGGTGGCAGTAATGGGTGGTAGGAGATTATTTCGGCTCAGCGGCAGCGCAGAGGGCGAGGTCAGCTGCTCGTGTGCAGTCAGACTGAAATACACCAATAAGAACAGAAAAAACGTACAGTTTATATATTTGGCATGGTGTAAACATACAATATGGTCAGTTTGGTTGGCATGAGGTAGACAACATTAAAACTGAGAGCAAAATTGCAGAATTTTGCGACAAGATGCTGGTGTTAGGGCTGACTATTGGAGACTGTATTTAAGAGGAGTTCTGCAGCGGGTGAGGTTTGGCAGAGATCTTTTTCATCTCTTAACAAGAACTTCTAGTTTTCAGAACATTTAATATTAAAAATCTAGGCAAAGTGAGTCTGAGAACGAGTACCCCAGCAGAAATCCTGGTAACGGGTGTATATAAAAGCTAGTTGGTGGTTAAAAAACCCCTCACCCAGTGCGTTTTGAAGGAGCGTGCTGTGCGGCGGGTGCTGCAGAATGAAGGTGTGTGTCTATATAAAGGTGTCTTCATGGGCAGTTACCACACAGGGGTAAAAATCGTCTGCCTGTTCCCAGACACGGCATTATTTTCTGCTTTATCCTTTAGGATGAATTATTGCTTACTGCTAACTTCAGCCTAGCAACCGGAGATAAACAACGAGCCTAGAATACAGCAGCAGCCCATACTTGAGCAGAGCAAGTAAAAAAGCTACATAATGCAAATGCATATTGTAGCTCCTCCACTTATTACGAGCGTCAGATAAAAAGTCTGGGGGTAAAACAAGGCGTCTACCTTCTCCGTCTTTTGTCTGAGTATTTGAAGGAACAGGTGCAAGAGGCTTTTAGAAGCCTTCTAAAAAGAGCTAAACCAATCTAATTGCACAAAATACAAAATTAATTAAGCTTTAGTCACAGGAGGCATATAAAAGCATAAGCATTCTATTTTCTAGATACTAGATATTCTAGATATTCTATTTTCTAGAAAAGCCTTTTCACATGAAAGGTGTCTGCACATTATTGTATGTTTGAGAAGTGCCAGAAATGATCAAGAGGCCTTAGCTCTATATGCATTCTGGAATGGACTGAAGGAAGGATGTTCTGTAAGAATACGTTAGAAAAGCTTCAAGCTATAATCAGCATTTTAAAAAAGGCTTTCCTAGCGCTCTCTACATACATGTAAAAATATACAGTAATAAAGGGGAGATGTTAACCATTGTTAGATTGAGCGAAGCCTGAGGAAAGGGGACAGAAGCATCAAATACTGGAAGTAGAAACATCGGTTATGAAGGGACACAAGCCCCTGAACATTACAAAAAATAACAGGCTGGATGAGTTTATAGGTAAACTGCAAAACTAAAAGGAAACTATGGCAGTTTACAACACGTGGAATACAGAAGTATATTAAACCCTGCATTGTTTCCCACCACCCTGTGGTTCCTGTAAATGACTACATTCAGTCAGATCATTACGCTAAACATTAAAAATAAGATATTCTAGGGTTCGTTGTGTTTGTTAAAGAGTCCTTTGGTTGGTCAGGTAAGATGAGCACCGCCTTTATAGCCCAGTCTGGGCTAGGATAGCAACAGGCACTTTGACCTCCAAAACCTAGACTTTTAAGTCCATCAGCTTTAAACAACTCAGCTTTCTCAGGGGAGATTGTGCTTTAATGGGCAGCTAATTTCTTTAATCAGATAATTAACGTTCGTTCTTTTCAACTGAACGCTTTTGTATAAGCTGGGTTCTCTAAACGTGGTAACTTGCAGCAAGAAACTGGTTTTGAAACGTACAGTCGAGTTCCCCTGACGACATCGTCCACAGAACCTGTACGAGAGTGACTTGTGTTGATGGGGTGCAGGGTACGTGGTGGTGGGTTTCGCCTCCTTGTGGAACATGACAGGGATGATGCGCTGAGCTCTAGAGGACGATTTGGCCACACTCTGGTAGAGAGGGTGGAACTGGAGCCCGGCCGTTTGTCATCCAGGTCCCTAACAAAAGAATTACAAAACCAAAACTACCCTGTTACCAAAGTACTCATCTACACATGACACAAACAGTATTGGATACTATGTGGATAGAGATGATGCATTTTCATTTTTTTACATAATTATATAAAGTAATTTTCAGCCAAATGAGAAAAGAACAGGGGATGAAAAAGAAAAAAGAAGCCTATCTTTATTTTTTTTTTTTACTGAACTATGAATTTTCCGATTCAAGATTCCAGTATAAAAGTGAAAAGTAATCACAGAACAGATTAAACACCCCATACTGTAAACATCAGTTTTCACACCCGTAGCCTAGATCTAACACAGGTCCACCTCTAGGAACCAAGCAAATCTGTTTCTCTACCCCATTCTGAGCTTCCTCTCTTTTCAGGCTGTCAGTGCCAAGAGGAATGCCATGGCTGTTCACCAAGTGGTAAACCAGCAGCAATCAAACAGAAAACCTGTACTGGAAGTCTGCTGTTTCACAGAGGACAAGTAAGTAAACAGACAAGCAGGGAAAGAATCGAGAATTGCTTTCGCCAGTGTGGAAAGTTATCTCGCTATGTTTTGAGTTGAATCCTTCTCACCGTGAGAGTGCTCTACTTCACAACAGATGATCTATAGTTCTTACACTGTTTTTTCCATTGCAGGCAGATTCCTTTGCTGTAGCTGGATCCCATGTATCACCATCAAGCCGTTTAGATTACGTTGAGAGCCACTACTTGACCCTTGAGAGGGATTTACCTGAAAGTTTAAAAAATAAGTAAGTAAATCTCCGTTTGGCAGAGACATACACACATATTTACAGATTTTGTCCTTGCAAATAATTTTGGAGAAATTAATTTCTTCCACGACATCCAAATATGCAATCCTATTATTTCGCCATCTAAGACTGGCATCTTAGCATCTATTTTTCTTGCAAATGGCAGTGCTTAGAAAATGTATCCTACCATGCTATATCACACGTAATATTTTCCAGCTGAGCTTCTCATTTGCATGAGAGGATCTTCCAACAACAGCTATAATCAGAAGCTTTTATTAAACTAATTTTCAGTGTATGTTGGCATTTTGTGTCAAGAACAGAACTGCAAACTCCTTTCCTGAAATACAGACTGATCTGGAAAAACATGAAATTCCACCCACCGTAACGACAGCAAATAGAAAATACCAGAGCTTTAATCTCTCCGACATACATACTTGAGGTGGTTTTCTCCTCTTTTTGCTTTTGCGGCCACATCTGGTTTTTGGGCGCTACACATACAGTAAGGGGAACATGAGGAAGAGGCAGGGGTGGAAATAAAGGAGAAAGAAAGAAAAAGAAATAAGAAGGAAAGAGTTGAATTAAAATGGAATAAACAGATAACACTCTGGTGCTCACCACGCTAGGAGCAGATCATCTAAAGCAGATTATACAGTCAAATTCAGTGTCTGAGAAAAAACCCAGCCTGTTTTACAACTGCACTGAGATTTGTCCTCAATCTCACACTTCATTTCAGAATAGGATCTCACATGCGCAATCCTCAATCTCACACTTCATTTCAAACGTTACTGAAATGCAGAAACAACCACGTCATAATGAACAGTCACTACCTGGTCGTCCAATATGTGTATAAAATATTAAGTTTTAAAGAGGAAAGTAGGAATTAAAACTTGCAACTGAGAAGTAACAGAACTTAAGCGTTAGAAAGGACAGTTGGCAGTCATACAAAATCCAAACTGGTTATGGATCTAAACAGTCCCCTGACGTACTCGAATCTGTTTGCTTAGGTAGCGCTGTATTGATTTGTCCCTACACAAACCAGCTGGCTAAAAATACTTACCAGATTTGATGTCACTGAGGGCATTTTAGTTTGTGGCACACGAGGTAACAATGCTGGCAGAGGATCAAACTGCAAAGGGCTTCCAGCAGCTGCTCTGATTGTTTCTACTGTGATGATATTTTTCTCATCATCTATGCAAAGCAAGAGAGAATTCCTGTAAATACAGGCTATTGGCATTCCTAGTGGTGGACACTGCTATGAATCCAAATTTTTTAAAGAGAGTCCTCTTAGATGCTAAGCTCTATTAAATCTTTTGAAGGCATGTCTCACGTTGTTAGCAAAATAACCCTTCCCCCTCCCCCCGGAAGAGATTATTCTTGAATACATCTCTCCCTCATTGCATCCTTGCAAAACGAAGTAACTGAAATCCCCTTCTGAATCATCTTCAGTTTACCCATGATCCTTACCAGAGGCTGACCCTTCCCAGTGCCTGCAGATTAATTCTTCCATGCAGCCTAGGACTTCACTCCACACATCATCAAACACAAATGTGAGCACAGAATCCTTCATGCAGGAATGTGGAGAGATAGGAGGAAACCCCAATTTCCGTCTACCAGAGGACAATCCCATTTTCCACTCATGCAACTCCTCCTCCCTGTAAAAAATGTAAGCGTTACCTGTACCATAAACGCATTTTCTCTCATATATTTTGTTGCATTTATTTAATAGGATTAAAACATCAGCTACAGCTGATACGTTTCTGTTCTATTTTCTCTTAAAGTGAAATAGGTCAGGGCCGCTGGCCGAATAGCTCGAAGACTTCAGGAGAAGTTTTGTATGTATCACACAGTATTATTTTCTGAGAGCTGATAGTTTCATAAACAGCAATATCAAATAACAGTTTAATACGGAAAGAAGCAAGCTTCTGTATATTGGGCACTTGAAGTTCCATTTCTTCCAGAATCTACCACTGACCTAAATGAGAAACAACCGAGACAATCGCCTTATGACTGCATGGCTGGGTTTCCCCGTACGGAATGGCTATAAGTGATACTTCATGCATAATAAATAATTTACCAAGGAGATCGAAGTCCCATTTAAAAATAAATATTCATAGTTACAGTGACATTTGTTCATCACAGTGTTGGGCTCCATATCTAACGGCACTACAGAATTCTGAAGATGAGAGGAATGTTACTCCTGATTGTTTAATGCCACTCTCGGCCTGCTGCTCTAACAGCCAGGAGGTGTTCAGGGCACGGGCTTAATGCAGTTTTAGACAATTAGATCTAATCAGTGAGAGGGGAAAAAAACCTACTTCCACAATGCAAGAGGTATTCTGAAGTGTGAAACCTGGAAGACAACTGCTCAAAAAAGTTTATGTTCATCTGCCAAAATAAATTTCATAGAAGGGAGAAAATAATACTGATGCAAGCACATTTATTAAGGCTTTCATATCTACTCCCTGAATTAGTACTTAACATCAAAACGCTACAAATCTTGAGGGGGAAAAAAAAAAAAAGAGATGCCACTAGAAAAAGCTGTACTGCTTCTACCATTATGTTACAAAGGCAGCAATATTGTTTGCTGCAGCAGCGTCTCCCTGGCCTGGTCAAAGCAAGCCACCGACCAGTCTGAATCTCATGGTCCTTGTGGCTAAGTGGCTTTATTTATTAAAACCAATTAAGTAGTTAGCAACTGGCAGTACCATGCAGAGTCCTTACCCAGGCCATATGTTCATCTTGTTGGGCTGAATAAAGTAAAGGGGCAAAAAGAATCCTCTTTATGTCACCCTTAGTACTTTCTTCTTAAGATAAAAATAGTGGGAATTATTTCTTGGCAAGCATCAAATCCACTCGAATTCTTAAATTACCACTGAAATTCCGGAAAGGTACAATTCCACCCAAAATGCTAGGGCAACACCAAAGCAGCACACTGCTAGTGCATAACAAACAACAATGAATTTGACTTAGTATAAAAACTAAATGGCATTTAAACTAGTTTTATTAAGTATGCCAATACATAGCAGGCTCTTAGTTATGATGGAACGAACTATTTCAACCAGGCACAAAAACAGCTAGTATGAAAAATTACCAAAAAAAAAAAACCCAGAAAAATAATTTAGCTAAATAAATTGTCCTAGGAAATGCATTGGGAGAATGCCCAGTGCCCTAGCAACCTCAGGCTTTCGGAAGTTCTCTAGAGGAAAGATATTAAAAAAATTAAATTCATCAAATACTTTTATCAACTAACATCAAAACAAAATATATATACATATCTATTTATTTATTTATATATTTAATTATATATCTTAACAGCAGGTACTTAACTGGTACTAGCTGCTATCTTAATATTCAATACCTACACATCTCTGCGATCAAAGGCTAAATATTCCTCCACTACGCCTTCAGAGACAATTACTCCATCTTCACCCTCTTCGCTCTCTGGAGAACACAAGGTCGGAGACTTGGAACGGTCAGCCTTTTTGTGAACGGGAGTAACAGAAAGAGGTACCTTCTTGCCAAAAACACTAATTCTGAACAGGTGACAGTTTTCAGAAAGCAGAAATGAAAATAAGTTGTTATTCCACTTCAAATAGCAGCACTTGGTGAGCTGAGACACAACATGGTAGTTAAGGCCAAGCAGGAGGGAGGCCAACAAATGATGCGTGACAGTAGAAACTCTTTTGGCTTGCATATTTTTAATTCTTGCTAAGGAACTTGAAACCTCAGAAAAAAACTCAACGCTAATTAAAAAACATTCTAAAACATTAAATAATAAAAGTAGTACTAATGTAGTGCTTTGTATTTTTGAAGCTCTATACAAATTTCATAGATGATTAACAACAAAACCAGCTACGCCACATACATATTCCCAAGAAAGCAGCAGCAGCGGTATTTCTAGTTACTGACCAGTTTACTGTAGTTAGCAACAAGCACAGCTACGCAGTCTGGCTATTCTGAATGTTACTACTTTTAGTTAAAAATTTAAAAAAAAAAAAAAAAGCAGCATGCTGGGTTCAAAACTCAACCTAACAGCAATTTATTAGGCCTCACGTTTTAAGAAGCCTATCACTGCCATCCACCGAGAACAAAGTTACCTTCCCACCTTGGCACGGTCTGGATTACCCGCTGGTACTTACTCGTCAGACTCTTTTTCTCGTGGTGAACTTACATCTGAGGAACCCAGACTGCCAGAAGGGGAACTTGAATACCACCCGTACCCTTCATCTGTGGGGATCACTATCTGCTTCCCCACAACCCTGCCATGGCAAAAACAAAGGGTAAACAAATCAGAAAATGTTGAAAGTGAGATTATTGAAGTATGTAAGAACACACGGCAGCAAATCCTAAAAATTCTGCAGAGAAGCTATGCGGTTTTCTTGGTGATAGTTAAATGTGGTTTCAGTTGTTCTCCCCAATTGCTTCGAGTCAGGTAAATAAATTCAGAAAATTTTACTTGCTTTTTTATGCTCCGCTAATTGTAAGACTCCTGAACACGGACAAAACTGTTCAAGTACACGTAATGAAGATTTAAAATTTAAGTTTCCAGATAGCCATAAGGACTGCTGAACTAGGGCAGGATGATTTTTAAATTATTTTAAGCACCTGGCTTTTAGCTATACACCACACATCTTTTCTAAGAGAATTTTGCTACGTTAAAGCCAAGTCACATGCAAATACCAATAATCCTCTGTCAAGGAACCAAACGGGAGATAGCAGAATGTTAGTTCATTAATAAACAACAACGGCAGGCAGACTACCGGAGTGACCTTTTTCTCTCTCTCTACTATATTATTGCATAAAGCCACCCTGCTACTAACGTTGTTTTAGAAGCAACTGTTTCCAGCCCTACTCTTTTATAACTCCGTGATGGTCTATCGATAAAATACCTGAGATGAGGGAAGTTGGATGTCCACTGCTGGCATTCTTCCCGCAGTCCCTCAACATGCACATTTTCTTTCTGCTCATAGAGAAGCTCATCGATTTGCCTGAAGATTTCCTGAACTTGTTGTGTGGCAGCTTTATCAAACTCCTAGGCAGAAAAGTTATCTAATAAATACCTAATGAATAGCATTCGGAGGGGTTTTTTAACTGAAATTTTTTAATAATTGAAAAAGACAACTATTTGTTTAAAGCTTAGCAGGACTGATTTAACAGTTCTGTTTCTTTTGCACAGAAAGTCATTAACTTTAAATAATTCCCCCCCGGAGATGATGCAGACTGCTGTTAGGACTGATGGTAGCTACATAAGCAGTGTGCCCTTGTTGCCAAGAAGGCCAATGGCATCCTGGGGTGCATTATGAGGAGCGTGGCCAGCAGGGCGAGGGAGGTTCTCCTCCCCCTCTACTCTGCCCTGGTGAGACCCCACCTGGAGCACTGGGTCCAGTTCTGGCCTCCCCGGTTCAAGAAAGATGAGGAACTGCTGGACAGAGTTCAGAGGAGAGCAACAAAGATGATGAGGGGACTGGAGCATCTCCCCTGTGAGGAAAGGCTGAGGGAGCTGGGCTTGTTTAGCCTGGAGAAGAGAAGGCTGAGAGGGGATCTCATCACCACGTACAAATATCTTAAGGGTGGAAGCCAAGAGGATGGAGCCAGACTCTTCTCAGTGGTGCCCAGCGCCAGGACAAGGGGCCATGGGCACAACCTGAAGCAGAAGAGGTTCCAGTTGAACGGGAGGAAGAACTTGTTGACTGTGAGGGTGGCCGAGCCCTGGCCCAGGCTGCCCAGGGGGGCTGTGGAGTCTCCTTCTCTGGAGATCTTCAACCCCCGCCTGGCTGCTGTCCTGTGCCCCCTGCTCTGGGTGAGCCTGCTTGGGCAGGGGGGTGGCACTGGGTGAGCTCCCGAGGGCCCTGCCAACCCTTGCCAGTCTGTGATTGATTCTGTGATAAGAGGCTTACGTTGACACAACAGAAAAAACTATTAAAACGTTTTGAAATATCTGTATTAAGTTAAAGACAGTAATTTACATAAAAGAAATCACAACAGGAAGGATAACAGTCAGTGACATTTTAAGGAAATGGAAAATTTGTTGCTTGCAATGTCCATAGACAACAGCAAAACAAAAAGCAATGCAGAGTGGTGCTAAACACTGTGAAAGTGAAGGATGCTCTTGTGTAAAAAAAATGAAACTGGGGTCAGTTCTTGGGTAATTTAAATCTAAACAGTTCCATCTCACCCCACAGAAAGCAATAGCACACTTTTTTTTTTGTAGATGGGGAATAAAACAAATATTTCTAAATGAAAATGATGGTTTAGGGTTTACTATATTTTGAGAAACATACCGGCGTGCAGAAGTTTATCAAGCTCACACCAAGTGCCTGGAAGTCATCCACTCGTGTTTGGGATTCCACAGTAACAGCATTTACTAGGTTGTACAGATACACTTATGCATTAATTGATTTGCATTTCCAAGGTTCTAGATTGAAATGCAGAATATTAATTGAATAATATGAGCCTAATATGTTTTGATCCGAGAGAAAAGCAAGATGGGGAAGCAGTAAAACACATGTTCTTTTCATACCCACTACCATGATTTATTGGCAGATCCAATCCTCACTTTTATCCTGAAATGTATTTGCAAGGGTCTTTCAAATGTCTTTCTACTCACTGGGCCGCACTTGGCCTGGATGATTACATCTACTCACATCATAGCCCCAAGAGAAGACTGAGCTGTCTTCGGTGGAGGTGTCGGCATCGGCGTAGCTCTGACTAGTGGCCCATGAATTCCCCTGATCGGCTGGAGTAACGGAAGGGTAATCTGATTCTTTCCAGGTTTCAGTCTCCCTGCAATACACATGTTGAGGAAGGAAAGGAAGGAAGAAAACCCAACGATACACAGTAACAAATAAAGTGGGTGAGTAAACTTTCCTTTCTGCGCAAAAAAGCATAGATGTATTGGAAGAGGCCTTAGCAATGACAGAGTTTTCGAAGCGTAAATACTGACTTCAGAGGCATTTAAGCAGAAGCCATAGTATACAAGTAATTGTAATGACGGTGACTCCTCATAATCTCAGAGACCCAGGAAGTCTAGAGGTCAAGCAAAACATAGATTTTTCCGAATATCATCTCAGTTAAGCTGCAGACTATTTCCAGTCCCGCTTCTACGCCACTCAGGAATTATTTTTATCTTTTCTCCTCTTGTTTCTGCCATAAAATTAGATGACCCGGGCTATTTGCGAGCTGGGAACAGAAGACAGCTACGCGCTTCTTGTTCTTTCCAAAAGAAGAAGGACATGTTCCGAAACGATACAGATCTGAGGCAAAGCCCAAGCCTCCCACCTGTATTACTTCTGTAAAGGTAACTCATAACAAAGGTGCCTGGTTTTGCCATTGTCTCCAGACAAAAGATTCATTCGACGTTATGACAAGTACCTTGAGATCTCGCCGTAGCTGTCAGCCGGCGGTGCGGCTGGGGACACCTCAGCTCGTGGTTCTGGCGGTGGATGATGCCGCAAGGCATGTTTTGGAAGTCCTTGTCTAAAATGAGAAGTGGAACTTGACATTACTTGTAAGAATAAACATCTACAGCATTCCCAAGCTTTACAGGGTTTTTTTCTGCTTTTCAAGGAACGTACTGATTTGCATACCAGAGCTCATTTATTGTTATTATTACAAAGCTAGTTCTTGCTACCCAAGCTTTAGAATTAAGGCATCAAAACAAACTCTGGGTTAAACAGGGAGTTAAAGGTCTTGGCTTAGAAATCAGCACCTTCCTTGAAACTTAAAACGTTGTCGTGGTCTAACAGCTCTCCAAAAGCAGATACGGCATCCTTATCCCTGTAGGAGGCTTATAATCGAATGGAACAAGAGTAGCCACCAAAATACGCACAGGCAAGTCAGGAGAAACTGTATTTACTAGGGGATTTTTGTTTATTTTGTCGAAGTTTCGATGTCTGGGGAAGAGGCACAAGAGGAATCACAGCAGTCGGAGGCAGAGAGAGGCATCGATGCAGGAACACCAAGTGGGGAGCTACCAAAACCTAGGTATTTGCTTAAACCTCTTGCACCCCCGCCCCCCCCCAAAAAAAAGGGCCTACGCATCAGTTACCTCTTGGGTCAAAAACCCCAAAGAAACAGAAAAGGACAAGCAGAAGAGACTG